TTTTACACTGCGTCGTAACGTCAACGGGCGCACGCGCTCCTTCACCTTCGCTGACGCTGTCTGCGAACGGGGTGTTTATACTCTTACGTCAAGTTGAACGCGGCGCAGCGCTGAGCAGCTCGACGCGCAACAGCGTAGCTTACGACGGACTTGGACATGCTCTATGTTCAACGTTGGGTGACGACGGCGCCGACGGAGCCTATCCCAGAAGCCCTCGCGCGAGTTCCCCATTGGGAATCGGGAATCCGGTTGTCGGGGCGTCGGGGCTAGTCGGAGTGTGCGAAATGCTGATTTCTGAGATCTAAACCTGCCGCGTGTTGTTGTCGTGTACCCGTATTGGTGTGCGTATTTAACATTCGTGCGTTCGACTGCGCCAGTGTGTGTCTGGACGTGGACCACTCTAAGGATGCGCTACCCCCGATTCTCGATAGGCCCATCAACCTAACGAGGCGGTGGTGGTGGTGAACCGTGGTGTTTGGGGTGCCGGAAAAAGCTGGAAGCTTAATGACGCGCCAAATGTAGGGTTAATGAGAACTAAAAATTACCTAATTTGTGTGATATTTATAATCATGTGTTAGTCGCCTTCACAGGCAGTCGTTCCCAATCGAAAAAGCGTCGTCGAATGTACGGGAATGGCGGACACAGTAAAAACACTGAACGATTTAGCCGGCCAGAAATTTTTAGTTGGGCTGTCTCAGCTTGTAAACGGTCTCAGCTCGTAAACAGTAGTAACGGTATGCGATGACAATTAGACTGAATCCTGTATTGTTTGGATAGGCTTTGTAAAGTGCGTCACAATTTCAAACGCGTACATTGCGTAATTAGCCATCGTCCGCTCTGTGAAAGTCTACTATGATGATAACACACAGGCTATTTGTCAGATAGGGCTATCTGTCAGACGAGGGCGAACCACACTGACCGATTGATTCTAGGCTAGGTGGCGCAAGCTACCGCCCATAGATAACCCGTAGAGACGGTGCGGTTGCCACGAAGACGCGCATGCGCAAAGTTTGTTGGGGCGCGCTGGACCAGCGTTGTTCTACGCTGGACTGTAAACAGCATCGTTCGGGTGCTTATCGGCGCGGCGTAGTGGGCAGGGTTGGGCAGTATCGCGATACAATTGTGTACAAATGTATAGTATTTCAGAAATATATTTCATATCTGGAATTCTATATCGCGATACCTTTTTTTTTTCACCAATACCTGTATTTCTGCATCAAAATATATTTGGAATGTTTCTTTGTATCGCGATACAATCAGGATGAAATGTATTTCGTTACATTTCTTGAGCAATATCCTTCCCCCCCCCCCCCCCCCCCCCTTCCCCCCGAGACATAAAAATACCAATTCGAACGCATTTCCTTTTTCAACTTCTGAGGGCACCGGGGGCAAGGAGATGCTTGGGCATTGTTACTATGCAGACCAAGGTTCCGTCCAATCCTCCAAACTATTTTTCTATGCCTACTCTTCTCTCTTCTGAGAAGTGTAGTTGGTGACTCGAACCAGGTGGCGTGCCAGAAGTGGAGTCAGGGTATACACCAACTCATGTTTACAAACAAACCGGAGCGCCCGGAGCGCCCCTAACGGACGCCACCGGCGCCGCGGATGCGCAATGGGGGTGTGGGCAAGAAGCTCGCCGTCGCCCATAAACAAACCATTGAAATGCGATGTTGTCGGCGTCGGTGTGAGTCCCCCTGCCCTTTTTTGCGTTCGAATTGTTGGTTCTACGTCTTCCTGGCGATGTCTGACAATCTTTAGCGGCGTCAGCGAAATTATCGAGGCTCGTTACACCGCAAAACTTCACGTGAATAACGTGACATGTGGCGATTCATCCCGCGTGGACGCCGCAGATTGTACGCCAAAGCCTGATTCGCATGATGAGATTTCGCTCGGAATTTTCAGTCGCGACGCCGCTCGGGCTGCAAAAGCGTGAACCGTAGCTGAGATGGTCGACGACGATACTGAGGTCGCAAGCAGAATCGGAGCAACTGCATTAGGCATAACAACAAGTCGGTGTTTGTCACTGGTAACAATGACCAACATCTCCTTGTATCTACTGTTTACATCGAGCCTGCTTACCAACCTTCAAATTTGAGTCGTTTGAGGCCTGCACTCACTTCTTATCGCAAGTATACCGGGCCAACATTTGGTCTACGGACCGGTGTCGTCTAAGAGAGCAGACGACAAGCAGAAATGTTTGAAAGAGCAAACGACAATTCTAACGATCAGGCGGCCGTTTGAACTTGAAGAAGCACTGAACGTAGTCCGCAGGTGGTCCGCACAACTCGACAGTTTTCTGGCGTTCATGTTGGAACAAAACAAAAAAAACTGATGACCAAAAGTATCCGTGAATTCAACCCAAAGTGCTTCCCGCCCAAGCAATCGTTGTCCGACGGCGTCTGCCTTTTCCCTTTTCAGGGCACATATCCAGATTCTCGGACGACCCGAGAACGTCAAACTGACCTTCAAACCTTTCTCGACACTTTTGGTTCGGCCCAGTCGCGGCGTTTTGACGAGAAGGGAGGTTTTTGTCTGGTTCCTTTCAAAGCAACGCAGGAATACACGTCTGGCATGGGGACTTCTGCCCAAAGCCCCAGACCGGAAGTGCGACCGACGCGCCACCACTGCGCCGTGACGTCACAGAGATGAGTTCGTGTATAGTCTGCCGGAGTTCCTTAGGTACGGATTTCTTGGGTCATTGTCTGTTGGCATCCAATGCCCGCTGCTAACCATCTCTCTTGCCTTAGCGCTAGGGATGCCACGAACGTATTTCGAACCCAAATTTTGTTTATCGAATCAAGCGGTTCGAAAGGTTTCAAAGATTTCGAATTTTCGAACTTGTTAAACTAAGACGTTTGACGCTTTTCGAAATTTCGAACTTATTACGCTGCAAAATTTGATGCTTGTCGAACTTTCTAATTTGATAGATAAAAAAATTCGATGCTTTTCGAGCTTTCGACCTTCTTGCACTAAAAAGTCCGAAGCTTTCGAACTTTTTACGCTAAAAATTCAATAATTTTCGAACTTTCGAACTTATTTATCTAGAGAATTTGAAAACTTTCGTTCGATTCCTGAAAAGTCAAAAGTTCGACAAACTTCTAACTTTCAGATTAAAAGTTCGAAGTTCGTCGAACTTTGAAAGACCGGCGGGGGGTTTCATTTGGTTTCAAGCAGTGACGTACTTCGTAATTTTTTTTTTCTCGAATTTTCACATGCGGTGCCGCATTCCTTGCGAAAGACAATGACGTTTATTTCAATGTTCTGGCATGCTTAGTTCTAAAGAAATAAATTCCCGAAGGAGCGAGGAAGGACGACGGGTTTTCGACGATTGTCGTTTGTGCCATATTGGAAGCACGCTATAGCCGAAGTTATTTATGGTAGAGATGTGAAAATTTTTTTTTATGAATGATCTATGTATAGCCTATGTAAGTGTCGTCTTAAGATATGATTATTATAATTCAAGATGAGTTTCGAAGAAATGTCCAATCATATCTCTACGGGCAATTATGCCCTAAACTTAATCATCTTTTTTTTCGTCTAAATTGTTTGAGGTATCGCTTTTAAATAGACCGATCTCACCAAGCGTTCCACGCATGCGTGACGCCGCCATAACTGTAGTTTGTAGGAGGCAGACGCCAGTTCACGAGATAGCTCATGCCGCCTCGTGCTCTGCTCGCGCAGACCTTTAGCGGGGTTGTCGCGCGTGCAGAAAGACTACAGCTCCCACGATGCATGTCGGCAGCGGTGGCGTACTCAAACTAGCTCCTGAGATCGGTCTATTAACACCACAGACTGTACACATCATTGCCATCTGCAGAATACAAAATAATGTTTTTATAGGTTTTTTTTTTTTGTTACGTTGAGGAATAAATTAATTCATGAGGAAAAAGTTCTAATATTGTTCAAGTTCAGCACGTCATTAAAAAAAGAAGCCATCTTTAATTTTTATTTTCGTTTTTTACGTTTTTGGGACGTGTTTTCTTTTTTTTTTTTTTAGACTACATTTTTTGGTAGGAGAAACTTGTTTCGAAGTTATGAGTCTCTGCAAATGCAAGAGTATAACACTTCCAGTGGGTCCTTGATAGTTTTTTTTTTTTTTTCAGCTTTTTGTTTTCGCATTTATGGTTATGTTTAATTTTTTTTTTCTTTTTTTTTTACCAATGGCACAGTTATTTAAGTCGAAAAGACATAGCTTTGAACTTCCAAACCACTAAGCATGTGACGAGCAGCACCTTCTGACAGCGAAGAGCTACAGTAAGGGGGGGGGGGGGGGGGGGGGGGGGGGCTATACATATGCATAAATCATTTCAGATTAAAATAAGCTCGACCACGCCCTCTTTCCCCGTATTAAATATCTAAAAGGGGGGGGGGCTGGAGCCCCCCCCCCCCCTTTTTTTTTATTTCCGTTTTTTCTCCTCCGACGCCACCAGTATGGTAGAACGCTCCTCGACCTGGAGTTGTGTCGGACAGGGAGGAAAACGCGTTTTTACTACCTTTTTCGTCCCTTATTTTAGAGTGCGTTTGCAATTATGGTACGCGTAACGTGCATCCCAACGCAGGGATTCACGAAATCGCACAAGGAGCCTAACAGCTTTCTTCTAGTAGTTATGAGCAGGTCGATAGAGTTAAATTGAATGCGATGTCAGAACCTAAAATAAATTTGGTGGTTGATTTTCTTTTTAAGGAAATATAAGAAGGGGTGGAAATCTATAAAACTAATAACAGTATACACGTTTTGCAGCAGCTGTGCATAGACGCCGCCATGACTGACCTTCAGTTTTTGTTTCCTCTTATTCCGTTTATTTCACTTCATCATTACCGTAGCAGGCCAGGTTATTGCCATATTAGACTCAACTGTGTCCTTTTCTAAAGCATCGGCCTTTGGAGAGGATCGTCAACTACCGTTTCAGTTGCTCGGCATCTCGGTAAGACAAGAGAAGGTCAGCAATGGCGGCTGTAATTAGGCGCGTGTGTAAAGCGTCTACATAGAACGCAGAAAATGAAGAAAGCACGCTCAAACAATTTTATTCATAGAACTATCTTGTGGCAGTGAATGCGCAATTGCTGGGAAAAAAAATGCGAGCTACGTTTGAGTTACGAATTGTTAAAGCTTGATTCCTACTCAGTAGGGCATATAATAAACGCTAGGTTGAGAGAAAGAATAAGGAAAACTACGATCTGTTCGTCGTCTCCAACAAACCAGTAAGGGATGATGTAGCTTAAAATGAACAAAAATTACAAGATGTCAGACCCATTGTTTCCGTCGCAGTAAACCTCAACGCAAAAGCTCCTTTTCTCTTTTTTTTTTGTCACTGACTGAGAATACAAGGAGACATAATGATGACGATGTATATATACAAAACGATTACTGAAATGACGGGTGGCGCCGGTCTTGGGCTTTGCACAATGACCCGCGTTTTTCTACATCCTGCAGAACGGGCAGTCTTTGTTGGTCCACAAGTACTGCTCTCCCCTTCCCTTGGCGTCTATGCTGTGGTAGCCCATCTCCCCCCAGTTGTAGCCACTCCTGCCGCAGCGTCCCCCGAGAAACGCCTTCTGACCGCCGGGACATTTGAGGGCCTTGAACTGGCAGCTTCTGGCAGACTGGATAGACTCCATAAAGTACTCCACGGCACGGCGATGGTGGCACGCCAAGTCTGCAACCGTAAGAAAAGGCGAGTGGGTGAAGTCATTTCGGAAGAACAACCTTATATGAAGAGAAACTGAAGGAGATGGGGAGAGGAGAGCACGCGTGGACGGTGAGAACGCCGAGCTCTGATTGGAAGGATTAGTGGGTAGTCGGAATGGCTGTAGCTGCCGATGTCTCTATAAACCACCGTTTGAACGCAAGGCAGTTCGCGAGCAGCAGACGACACTCTTGTTCGCTTATCTGCCGCAGTCGTACTCCTTATAGGTCATACAGATGTCACGTTGTTCGCTGACGACATGACGGCCGAAATGCCTCCGGACACGCCTCAAAGATCTTCGAGGCATGTTTGCGTCTAACATTTGTAAGCTTCGAACATGTCTGCAAACAGTTTTTGTATGGCCAATGTGACAGCGCCCTTATGCAAGAAAGCAACATGCCTCAGAGAAAGATTGTCGCTTTGTATGATGTATAAGCAGTGTGACCGCGTCTTAATTGGAGGGAAACGACGGGTCTTTAGTCTACTTGATAATCGCTCCAATCACAGCTCGGCGCTTGGACGACCCCCGCGTGCTCTTATCTCCCTCTTTCCCTCGGTTTCTCTCCGTGTACGGACTTCAAAAACACGAAAGCTTAAAATTATTTTACTGAACGCTATCTGAAGGTGCAGAATGCGGTGATTCGTGATAACAGTTTACTGGCACTACGACGGATGATCGCATCACGACTAAGTGGGCAATAGGACGGATAATCACATAACGACTAAGTGGGTATTGCGAACGATACCTAAGATTATATTAGTGCTTCGTGCGTCACGAATAAATAATTACAGCCTTGCTGGCGCGAGGGTTTGGCTCCAGAAACTAGATCTGACCGAATAAATTCCGAAAATTCAACCCCATAAACATTTCATGAAAAAAAATTGCAGACCATATCAACACCTTACTTGAGATCTCTCACGTCATTGGGGTTCTTCGGAAGTAAGTGTATTGGATGTGAAAAATTGAGGTATATGAGAAGAGCGCGTTTCTAAAGGCACCTCTTACAAAATTACTGGAACACCAAGGGCCTGCTGGGTTTGTATGTACACATGCTGCACGTACTCGCCCTCTCTGCAGGAGAGGCTCGAAGCAAATGACTACACTAAAAAAAAAGCCAGTGCGTCTACTTTTTCGCACAACACTCGGAGAGCCAATCACCGCAACTTACGGAGGCAGCTCAGCGAATGACGATGCAGAAACATATGTTTAGACTAAAGAACGGCTCTCTGAGTTGTGACATTAAGCAATGCAAGCGTGACGTTTTGCATTGCTTAATGTCACAACTCAGACTGCGTCTTTTGGTCTAAACATATGTTTCGGCATCATCGTTCGCTGAGCTGCCTCCGTAAGTTGCGGTGATTGGCTCTCTGAGTTTTGGGTGGGGAAAGTATACGCACGGTTTTTTTTTTTTTAGAGTGTAAATGCTCACTGAGGATTTGGGAAACGGAGGCGACTCCCGCGCACCTCATTATTTTTCTGTAACCAATGAGAATGCGTTATCAGCCAACAAGAACTTCGAACAGCGAATGCCATAGCATGAAGCGCGAAGATATTACGGTATTAGCTGGCTGATAAGAACGCCAAATGACCAATCACAAAGCAAGACGCGTTCACATAACAAGACATGCCCTGTACGTACGCAAGCATTTCGGCAGAGGTCTACCTGGTTGGGGAAAAAGTTGAAAAAAAATTTAATAAAATCAGGAACCAAATCCTACAAGGAGGATCCGTTGTTTCAAAACCGGCTCGGTTTGTTCTTCGGGGGGCGTTTATTTACAGATAGAGGATATCAGCCTTTCGCTTTCTTCTATACTCTAAAAAAAGCCCGTGGGTTTACTTTCCCGCACAACAGTCGGAGAGCCAATCGCCGCAACTTACAGAAGCAGCTCAGCGAGTGACGATGCTGAAACATATGATTAAGCCAAAAAACGCAGTCTGCGTTGTGACGTTAAGCAATGCAAGCGTGACGTTTTGCATTGCTAAATGTCACAACTCAGACTGCGTTTTTTGGTCTAAAGATTTGTTTCGCCATCGTCGTTCGCTGAGCTGCCTCCGGAAGTTGCGGTGATTGGCTCTCCGAGTGTTTTATGGAAATCTAGACGCACGGGCTTTTTTTTTAGAGTGTACAGTGATGGTACCTTTCTTTTACTTCTTTGTTGGGTGACTTAGTCCGTTCACGTAGGATGATGGTAATGTGTCAGTTGACATATCGACATTTTCCGGTATTGCTTTGATATGCCATGATTTTATAAAAAAAAGCCTCCGGTGGAAATTCGCCCCAACATTTATGATGCGGGTGTTTGCGAGTGCATTCGATGGTCATAGTCCTCACAGTGTTCCTAAATAGCGCAGCGCTCGCGGTCGAATGTTCGCACATTGTTTTTTGTGTTGTTAAATTCTTTCTGGAAGTTCTGTTTCGCCAACTTAGATGACAGGGCACTCTGCGCATGGAGTTGAATATACAACGCCCTGCGCTCTTTCTTTTGATGGACTATCTTTCGGTCGCGGCATCATAGGTTCAAGTGTGAAATGATACTGGTTTGTGGGACACCTGAATACCTTCTTTTGCCAGTGTACGCGCCAGCGCTTCCTAGAGCCTTGTATGTAAGAAACAAGCCGTGCTTTCTGTATCTTAAGATATCAGTTACTCTAGGAGAGACGGGTTTGACATTATATCAGCTGAATTCTTGAAATAATTAGAGTTTTTGGCTCAAATAATTCCAGGAGGGGTCACTGCAACTCTTAGCCTGTGATGAACTCTTCCTTCAAAACCTCAATCATGGCCTATGCACTCTGATAAGAAAATTCAACACAGTCGACTTTCTGCAGAACGTGAGATAAGTCACGGCGTAGAATAGAAGGAACCCTAGCGAAAAACAAATCTTACTATTAAATCTGAAAAGTTCGATGTGCAACATAATGAGCAAGTGAAATGTGCTCATTGATATGTGCACATATGCTATTTTCTTGGTCGAATCGCATACGGAGCTTCGTCTAGCGCTGTTACGGCTCGTCGTGATGGGCTTCCTCCGTGTTCAGCAGCGAAGGGAACCCGTATACGGTTCATTTTGTTTAGCGTGTTTCCCTATTAGGGGAGGTTTAGTCGAAGCTTACCGAACCACCAACAGCCAGGCTGGGATTTGCCTCCGTTGGGGTAGAAGTTGGCGTTGCCGTAGGGCTTCACCATCCCCAGACAACCCTTGAGCAGGTTCGTGCCCGCGCTCGTGTGGATGCCGTCCACGAACTGCGCATCGTGCCTGCTCACGTGGAACCCGTAGGACTCAAACAGAGGACCAGCAGCATCCAGACCTGCGTCATGATACAAACAAACAAATATCATGTATTTTTTAAACATTAATGTGTTTTGTTAGCCGAATTCTATGAGAAACCCGTAATAAAGACCCGTCGCGAAGAACCATCACAAAGAACTGACACGCCAATTCTCCCACTAAATTTAGAAGGGAAATCATTGTACACTCTAAGAAATGCCTGCGCGTCTACTTACCCGCAAGACATTCGCAGAGTCGACCTGTGCGATCTACGAAATGAGCTCAGCGAATGATGAAGCTGAACATTCGTGTAGACCTCAAAATTACGTTTGCTCTGTGGCATTACGCAATGTAGGCATGACGCTTTGCATTGCGTAACGCCACAGCGCAGACTTAATTTTTAGGTCCAGACGGATGTTTCGCCTCATCATTCGCTGAACTGATTTCGCAGATCGCAGAGCTTGGCTCTTTGAGTGTTTTGCGGGTAAGTAACTGCGCAGGCATATCTTAGAGTGAAGCTTGATGTAAATTTTTTGGCTAAATTTAGTGGGGAAATTAACGTCGCGGCACCTCGTCATGAAACTAAGTCAAGTGACGTCCATGTTACATCAAATCACAAACATCATGTGGCCTCAATTTATGTGACGTAAATTTTCTCACTGAATAGCGTGGGAAAAGGGATGTCACGTGACGTGACCACGTCATGTAACCTCAAGTCACGTGACCTCAATTCCTGCAAGGTGGTTCTGCGAGGTGGTAGTTTGTGCTCAACCCCATCCTCTGCTCCCCGGTCTTTGTCGGCATAATTAATGGCGCCCTGAGGAGGTTTCTGAGATCGCCTAAATATTGAGATAACTCACTCTGCTGACTCTAAGCATCCCAGAAATGCCTAGATCATTACAATACGCGGACAACTTAAAAAAAAAAAAAAAATCAAAAATCGACCCACACCGAGGTCTTTTCCTCTCTGGCGATGGGAGGAGCATGTTCCGAGAACGAGACCACGGTTAGCCATTAGTAAGCGAAGGATCCTCGCTCCTCCGACCGGGGGAATTGCAGAGTGATAATGCCGCGTGCATGATCGACAAAATACGCTTCTCCGTTCATCTAGAAGAATTGTATACTCTTACCCCGAGCTTAAAAGAGGAGGAGGCCAGCCCTTAGCAAAAAGAGACCGTACTTCAAACGAAGTTGAAATATATTGAATACGAATATTCATTTTGTATTTATTCTGTATTATTTTGGCCACATTCGAAATACGCTCGTAAGGTATTCAAAATACATTATAAATATGAATAAAAAAATATTATATATATACCAAAAATATTATCCCTTCTCACTCAAGATGCCATTTGTGCATCAAAATCCGGTTACACAATCTTTTTTTTTCGATTTTGTCAGCACATGGTGTCCCTGCGGTATTTGAAGGCACTACTAAATACATTTCCCAAAGCTACATTAGAAACGAACACAAGCACAAACACCATGACGCACTGAACAGCTCATTCACAATCCCGTTGACTGCTCTAGAGCCTTATATAGCCTACATATTGAAGGTAATCATTTTTTCGGTGACCACCTGTGCGCTTATTAAGGTTCCAAGTATTCGATCTTCTCCTCGGGAGTCTGTCAAAGGGGAAACAGTGTTTTGAAGTTCGTGGACGATATCTCTTACTAAAAAGCATTGGTACGACTAATAACAATTCGGGGCAGTCCCTTAAGCAATATCCACACAAACGGCTCATAAAATACATGTTATTGCTTCTCTGCGTAGCAGCACTCAGGACGAAGTGAATCAAGGCAGTTTCTTCAATTTAAAATACTGTAAACGACTTCATTTTCGTGAGGACCTAATTCTCGCAAAGTTCGCGCATCGCCTATAATTCCGAAAAATAGGTCCCGTGAACAATTCCGCCAAAATGTAAAAACATTAAAATCTATATTGCGATCCCAGCGCGTCGCGAAAATTAGAACTTGCGAATTATTCCAAAACTCCAACTTTGACCTAAATCACGAAATGTTGAGCCCGCGAAAAATAAATATTTTACGGTAGTTATTTTGCCTATCCTTTTTAGTAGTTGACTATTTAATATGGTAGTTAATGTCACTATATTAAAGTCACTACTCACATCACGTACAAGGGTGAGTATACACGTTCAGTGAACTAACATTGTGCTAACAAAACCACGCCAAACGTATCTGTTCACAGCATCTGCTGAAGCTTTCCAGCATCAGCAAATGTTGTGGTTGAAGTTCCCGAACCCCGTTTGTGATTGGTGTGCAAGGAAATGATCAGGTGTTCTTGATAGAAAAAAGGAATCGATAACATAAACTGGGCTGATTTATCAGTGCGATGCTGCGCAATTGAATTGACAGACTAATCAAATGTTGTATTTAGGCGCTTCAAAGTACTCCATATCTGCTTGAAGTGAACTTCTAGAAGGGGAGCTTTTCAATATTTTGGTAGTTTAAGTCAACTACCAAAGTATTGCACTCAAAAGGTACTTAGAGTATAACACAACAGTATTTACAATTTTCAGGTATTTTAAGAGTATTCTGCACGTATTTTTGATTGCTCCATTTTTTTAGGGTTGGAGTATATTTTGCATGAATTAAATAAATATTTCAAGAAATATATGTGAAAGGTATTTCGTGCCTATTAATTTCGTATTTACATATTTCAAAACGCATGAAGGGAACTTCAAATGTAGTTTAAGTAAAGGTATTTTAAAATGATTTTTAGAAGTATATTTTAGTACTAAGTAAAAAAAAAAAAGAAGTTTATATTTTCGGTCTATTTTTCGTGTACTTACAATTATGAACTGTATTTCAAATACACTCAAATTAGAATGTGGTATATTTCAAACGTATTAGTTTTCGCTAAGGGAGATGGGGGGCCTTGCCTGGTCAGTCTCTTCTTAGCTCTTCCTCGAACATTCTCAGTAGAATATTCGAAATGGCGAGCATAGTAGATGAAGAGCTGAGTGCCATATTGCCGATTCATTCGCTGATTATCTCTCGCGATAGCCAGCTCTTACGCTGACGCACCGTCGCTTGCAGTTGCCGCCGTCGACGCTCGCTGCTGCTTTCTCGAGGTCTGTTTTTTTTTTTTTTTCGTTTTTGGCACAAGTTCGCCCCCATTTAATCTTTAGTTCATTCCGTTTCCTTCTATTTCTTCATCTGTCATTCGTGTCAATATCTCGAATGCGCGCGACTCGTTGCTCATACAGCAAGCGTGCGCTCGAAAGCTGACGGCCGGACACAACACTACCGAAAAAACAAAAAAAAAAACACAAAAAAACAGTGCACTGTTTTTTAGACGTTTATGGCAGTACTAAGTTTCCTCTTCACGAAATATTTATTTTCGACTACTCTTACTTGCTTCTGTCATCTACAAAAGCCTACACATTTTGTAATAACAGCGTTTGCTATCTCAACGAAATGTCGCGCTTTCATTGGTTACATGTCGTCCAGGCTGCCGTCACAATGCTCCTCCCATCGCCTGCGATAATTTCGAGCTTTGATTACTTTTTTTTTCAATGTGTAAATCGGCCGCGCATCGTTATAGTATATGGATGGTTAGGATGCTTAGAGCCCGCGGAGTGAGTTATCGCCATATTTGAACGATTTCAGAAGTTGCTCTCCAGGTCGCGTTTAAGAGCTCGGGTAATTTTGGTATTTTAATCCTCTCGCCTAAAGATCACCGCACCAATATTACTGTTTACTGTTTCTGGTTCTTTTTCACACCTTCCTACAATTTTTTCCCGTATATTTTTTTATTGCGATTGTTTTGTGCCATTTGTTCTAGTTTACACTCTTACGCCCCTCTTCGCCCACACGAGGCAGGCGGCTGTGTCTTGTGCCGTACGGTGTTCACTGGAGACATGATGACGGCATTATCTGTGGCTTGAAGCATGTTCGAAGCACGTCTGTTTCTGAATGCTTCAAATGCCTGCAGACAGTTTTAGTACGGCCAATGACAGGACTCGTACAAGGAAGAAGCACAGACAGTGTATGCAGATTGTCTTTTGTACGACGCATTAGCAGTGGGACTCCCATTCACGCATCGCGGCAACGTAGCAAAACTAAGGTTTGTTTATGGGCGGTTTGTTTAGGGCGATTGAATCATACCATTTGGTTCCAAACCCTTATTTTTATACACTGTATATACAGGGTGTCCGAAAAAAAAGTTAGTGTTTTTTTTTTTTTCAGTTCAAATATAAACTATACTTCGCTGAACCCCGATTCTCGGCCCAAAATAGCATTAAAGGTCAGAACCAGACGCCAAAGTTTCAGCCCGAACCGATATCTTATTCAGAAGTTATAAGTGATTTTTGTTTAAAATGCAGTGGTGAAAAAGGGGGGGGGGGGGGGGGCATTTTCGGCTATTTTCGGTGTCTGGCGCCATAGAGCTCCATGTATTCGAGAGCTTCGTCGCCCGCCATTTTTCCATTACAATTTTCAAGAAATCACATAACTTTTGAACAAAATACCGGTCCGTGCTGATATTTTTTTACCTGGTTCGGACCTCTAGAGCTACTCTTGGGCGGAGAATGATCATTGGGCGATGCGTAGTTCAATTTTGCGGCGAAGAAAACCCTGCAAAGGTTTCTTTAAAACACCCTATATATATATATATATATATATATATATATTGAGCGCCTGAAAGAACGTTTTTTGGCACGAGCTTTTGGCACTGTCAGTGCTAAAGCGGCAGTTTGTTTTCCCCGATTTCTTAGTATTCTCCCGGCGAGCGTTGGTGTCGGGTACTACAAAGAATGCCATCGCCCCAAATAGAAGGATATTGAAGCACCCTAAGTAAAACTGGCTAGTGAAATGGGTCTATTCCGCGCCTGAGGATTTAGCTGCACTCTTAATCGCGGGACAATTATTTCCGGTAGCGCGCACCAGTGATCCGTCCGATCTTCTTCCCGATCGTCCTGGAGAAGCTCCTTCCCGCGAAGCCCGCAACTTGGGCTCCGAGACTGAAGCCCACCAGGTGCACCTTGTCCGGAACCACGGTGTCCGGGTGCCGGTGGGCCAATACCTCCACGAGGCGCGCGATCTGCCTGCCCACCAGCGCCGTGTTGGCGGCGGCGGTCATGTACAGGGGCATAGGGCAGCCCTTGTTCCAGTCTACGGCCACCACGTTCACGTCCTCCTGCACGACGAACGGCCGGACAGAGGTTGGTACGCGGACAAGATACCATTTCGGAAATATTTATCGCCTCAAATTGTCTTTTCGACGCACTACGGCAATCCGATGTGCGGCGTGTGGAGAAGAACCCACGTATAGAAGCGTTGGTTCATATTCGTTTAGCATATTGCGATTTCAGAACGAAAAGGACGCAGGACGATAACAAGACAGGGTAAGCATTGGCTTTGCGAGGCGTTCGCTTTGTCTTCTTTCTGTTCTGAACTCGCAGTCATGAGAGCAGGCACGTAGCCAGGGAAGAGGCCCATGGGGCCCGGCCCCCCCCCCCCCCCCCCCCCCCCCCCCCGAAATCTTACATTTTGCTGGGACCTCCCCCCCCTCACACAGCATTTTGTCATGGGCGGGCACCCCCCCCCCCCCCCCCAAACCAAAATCCTGGCAACGTGCCTGGGTGAGAGTGAAGGAATTGAGCCACCTCCAGGATGTACGGAGCGTACGAGCCGACCCGAGTGTACATAGGAACGGTCCCACAATTCAACGCGCCACGCGGTGCAAGGTGGGATCTACGACAGGCCTTTTGGGGTTTTTCGCGGATGTCTATTTTTAACGCATGCACACTTTAGGGTTCATCGCCGATAAAACCTTCTAACTTAATTAATTGCCACCATTTCTTTGAATAATTAATTAAAATGAATCAAACACGTTGGCCTCAAGGTAATATATATTTTTTTAAGTCAAGCTATATATTTTTGCTTTTACTGTTTCTTGCTATGTCGTGAGCAGAGCAATGTAAAGTCTTATTCGAAACTTGACACTGTACCGCCAGCAAAAAGAAAACACGGGAAGCAATTTTAAAATTGAAATTTTGCTACATGTATACCGTAGTCACCTTATAATCACTGCGATTCACAACCGTAAGGAATGCTAAGGCGCTTTACTGTGAAACGGGCAAGTGCCCATTTCACATCCTAAGCGAAAAAGAGGCATGCCAAGTAGTAAGGCGGGCATTTTTACTCTCTCCTAAAAATTTCAAACACAAAACTCACCCGACAAACCACTTGAAAAAAATGCATCAGAACTAAAACAATAATTGATTGTTTGGACGGTTAATCAATCACTTGGTTAGCCAAAATAAACAGAGAAATTGACCTAGATGCAGTAGACGACATAATTTTCGCGAGGACCTAATTTTTGGGAATTTCGCTAATTGCTTATGATTGGCGAAAAATAGATCCCCCGAATATGTTTCCCTAGTGTAGCAAATACGTAGCATACCTCCCCGAGTCTCGGAAATTGAAGCCCGCGAATAATTACATATTTTCGACTTTGGCCCGATTCGCGAAAATTCGAGCTTACAAAAACTTGAGTCATTTACGGTTTTCCGTTTTGTAGATTCGGAGTAATTACTGTGGTCCACGAGGCACCCACGAGTTGTTGAAAGCAGGAACTTTGGTAGGAAATTTGAGCTCGACGTGGGACCTCTCCCTTTCCTGCCGTTTTCACCTTGTCAGTGACTGTCTAGTCATTCTCACCATTTCAAGAAAGGCGTCCTTCATCTCCAGTATCCAAGTAGCGTTACCACTTTCACCAAACCCGTGCACGATGAAGACAAGGCTCTTCTGCCGTTGGAACTGATCGACGCCCAAGGATTCGTAGCGCAGGTAGTCGAGGAGCACGGGGACTTGTCTGTTCTTGCGGGAATAGAGCATGAACTTGGTGTCCACCTCCCTGGGGCTAGAAGGGAGCGAGATGAAGTGCGAAAAGTTGTCCCTCTGCGAGAAGCAGCCCAGGCCGTTGTAGCAGACTTCTTGGTCGCTGTAGAACGCAGTCCTGGGAAGTATCTGCGGAAAGTTGGTTGAAAACTCTCCGTTACAACTAGGCGGTATAGCTTCCCGCTTTTTACCGAAAAACACCGATATACATTTATTAACATGGTAACCCAGGAACGGGACGGACAACACAAAGCTTTGTGTTGTCTGCCCCTGTTTTTGCCTTGCTCTTGGGTTAACGTTTCAGTATTGAACCAGGTCCCCTGCACTTTTGCTTTAGTTTAAACATCCGTTGGTATCAAAAATTCAAGATGCATTAAAACCTAAGATCACTGCTAAACATCCGTGAGTGTCAAACGCTCAAACATGGTTAATTTCGAAAACACCGATAAACGTCCATTGGTTTCAAAAATACAAGATAGGCTGAAATAAAAAAAAACACCGATATATGTCCGTTGGTCCAAAAATGCAAGATGGCTTAAAACCGAAGAACACCGCTGAACATCCGTCAGTGTTAAACTTACAAAACTGGTTAAAAACAAGAACACCGATAAACTTCCGTGTGTGGCCAAATACAAAATCGGTTAAAACAAAAAACACCGAAAAACATCCGTCTGGAAAAAATACAACACCGGATAAAACTGTAAGACACAAATAGGCATGCGTGGGAGTCCAAAATATAAAATCAGTAAAAACTGAAAAACACCAATAAATAAGACATTCGTTGGTGTCAGAAGTACAATATTTATAGAAACCGTAAAACAGCAATTACTTGAAATGTATGATCAATCAGGGGCTATATTCTGTAAAAACCCTCTTCTTCTGAAGCCTTAGCCACTCAAGGGGCACCATAAAGACCGTCCAGGGGCCTCGCGGTGTAAGTGTGCGCATATATTGGTTGAGGTTAGGGGAAAAACAAAAGCACATGGACTCAATCTTCTGGATCAACAAACCCACGACGTGATTAAAGAGCAGACGTAGCGGCTCGCATCCCGTATAAAATCCGGGACTTTTTTTTTTTTTTTTTTAATAACAACTTTCTTACTTTTACGGTTTCGCTCGCGATGTAGACGTTCTTGACGAGTTCTCTTCCCCACTCGACTTCTTCCTTGGTGGGCTTCTGGTGACCCTTGCAGCATTCTTTCTCCTCAGCATGCTTTCTTTCTGTGGGGACCACCGGGAATGTGCCGTTCACCACGCCTCCCAAGGTCTCGGACGTCGCCAGGATCAGCACTACAAGCGCGTGAGAAGAATAACCACTTGAAGACATTGGCACAGACATCGCATCTCGCCACAAACAAAACAAAAAGGTCGCCCAGCTATTGCGGTCGTTTCGATAAACCGAAATCTCAACTTCGACCAGCAAGCGCAACGCTCGTTTCTTCTTCGTGCATTTAACCGTAGACTATAACCCGTTTCACATTGAGGAGTTTTAGGGAAACATTTTTGCACATCCGAAACGCTACGATGGACCCTCCGGTACGAAACTGCGCGTGCGGGAGTCTTATGCGGTATAGCACATGCGCAGTTCGTACCGGAGGGCCCATCATATACCGTTTGGGAATGTGCAAAAAGGGTTCCCTAAAACTCCCTATTACGTCCGACCGTATAGCCGACTATACGATGGAGCCAATCAGGCACCGGAAAAAAAGTGCATCGTCACGGCGCTGGTCGCCTTTGTCGCTTATATATTCCCGGCTAAACCAATCACGCCTAGACAAAAGCGCAGGATCCCGGTGCATTTACTGTGCACGATTCGTTTAGCTGGGGATGGCAAACCCGCAAACACAACAAGCGCCGTGACGATGCAATTTTCGCTGCTGCCTGATTGGCCCCATGGGATCGTAGCGTCGATTTCGGTTGGACTTGAAAATGTAACGGAGTAAAAATGGGCACCAGGACCCGTTTGCTCGAAGCGCTAACCGTGGCTAAAGTTAGCCACAGTACCTAGGAGAGGGATTTTGAAATCACGTGACTGGCTTGGTAGGGATGCGGAGAAACATGGCGGTGCCCCGGTGAGTGAGCGCCGCTCGCTTTAAAACTAATGCGTCGTTGTAGCTGCAATATCGGGCGCGTTAGTCAGCAACGAATGGTGCAGGAGGCTTTCGCTTTGCCTTAACTCACTTAAATCGCAAAGCATGAGCAATGACCTCGCCTCATTTTTAGATAGTCTTTCGATTCTGCCCATTCCTAAGACTAAATGAACGCGAGGATGGTCGGCATGGCAACGTCTTTGGAAAGCGGATTGCCTTGACTCAATCGGCCGGGTATTGATAGCCCACAACAGCAAGCAGCGTTCCAATAGACCTTTTTATAAATTTCCCAAGCACCAAGGTGCATACTGCAAGTGTAGTTACACGCGTTGTACGTGCTGGCGTCTGCAGTATCAATTGTTCTAAAGCAAAATGTCTAAAACAAATTTTGCCTTGCACGCGCGTTCGTCGAAGCCTTATTATGATTATTTACTTCGAATATTTTATAAAAGAAAGGCGAGCGCGCGTGGAACGTAGAATTACACTTTCAGCGTTCTCCTCGACGCTTGGGTAATTAGAAAAAGGTCTCTTGGGACGCTGTCTCCTTTTGTGTGCTATCAATACCCAGCCGATTGAGTCAAGGAAATCCACTTTCCAAAGACGTTGCCATGTCGACAATTATCGCGTTCTTTTAGGCTCAGGAATGGCCAGAATCAAAAGACTATCTAAAAATGAGGCGAGGTCATTACTCATGTTTTGCGACATCAGTGAGGTAAGGCAAAGCGAAAGCCTCCTGCATCAATCATTGCTGACTAACGCGCCCGATATTGCAGCTACAGCGACCAGGGGTGGAAGCAAGCTTCAGCCTTTTAGAGCAGGTCTGGGAGCAGCAAAGATGCCCCTTTGGAGCAGCTTAGGAGCAGTAAAAATTCAGCTTTGGAACAGCTCAGGAGCAACAAAAGTCGAGTTTCGTAGCAGTATAAGCAAATCTTGGAGCCGGTAACCCGAGTCGAACTCGGTGCTATAAGCACATATGTGTTTTTCTAAATACAAAAATAAATATAAATAAAAAAGCATCTCCATGTGACGTTCCAGAACCATTTCCAAACATGACACTTCCTTAAATATATTCCAGCCCATAGCAAAAAAATATTTTAATGGGTTTACAATACATTGAGAACTGTCCTGGTAATAGCGGGTTGGTTCTTCTCATGGGTTTTCAATAGTAGGCATAGGCAACTAACAAAAAAGAAGTTAAGCTTCATGAAAACAGAAGATTGTAACTATTTATCAATACCTAAATCGCACATTTCATAAGTTAAAAACAAGACCATTTCAAGTTGCAATAGTATGGTATGAAATACAGTTCGATATTGACTACAGTCCATTATTAGGAAACACAAATCTATCAAGTCCCTGTTTAGCAAAAAAAAGTATTCCAATACTCAACAGGGCACAAATCAAAAGTATTCCGATACTCAACAGAGTACAAATCTACTCTATTTGCTAAAAGTACAATAATTAAAAATATAAAAAATTCATACGGCCTATACAATTCCCGCTCATACATACGCACTTAATTAACCCTTACTAAAACAGGCATGACTGACTAAAAGAAAAAAGAAAGCTTGTTTAAGAGTTTAATAAAAAAGAAAGTGACTGACAAAACTAGGAAGTAAGACAATAAAAAACGGAAGGTTTTCCTCAAGCGGAGCGCAAGTTTGTCTGCTTCTTGCACAAGGGTAGCGTGACGTCAGAACGCCGAGTTCTTAATGACTGATCAAAAAAAAAAAAAAAAGAGTGGGTATACTTGAAGGCACTTATCATTTAAGTCTACCCACAGTCATTTCAATCAAAACCAATCAGAGCTCGGCGTCGTTCTAAAGTCACCGCATCTCGTGTGCAAGAAGCAGACGACTTGCTTTCCGCATTGCTTGGATGCGTTCTACAGAGGTTTAGAATTTGCTTCGCACAGCAGGATATTACCACTGCTCTCCTCGTCCACCTGCCGGCTTGCTGTTTGGGTACCAACCAGCACGTGTATTGGCCACGTATGTCATTTGGGTCATTTCATGCCAAAGGAGACGGCAATTTTCGTCATATTTTGGATATGCTTGACAAAAATGATACGAATAAAGACACGCTTGAAAGTAGGGTTTGTTAAGTTTGAGGGCTGAATTACGTTTATTTTTTCTGATGTCATGCTCCAAAGTGTGGGGAATCGGAGAAAACCTTCTGTATTTCGAAAAATTGCTGAAAAAAAATCTATTCTTACCACGTAATTTTAAGTTTCCATGCAGTCGATCACTAATATATTCTATCTTACCTTGAAAGGAAAACACCTTTTGCCGCCATTTTGGGTCCAGACAGGCACTCCAAACCGAAGCAAATTTTTAAGACTTCTTGATATTTTTTTAGCCAACTTGAAATTAAAATTTCACTAAGAAACTTTTTTCACTTATTTTTCTGAACATTATGCTCGACTAGGTTGCATTATAATTCTAAAAAAATATTCGGACAGTTTTAAAATAAATGGTGAATATGTCACTTTCTTCAAAAATGGTCATATAGAGGGTAAGAAAAAGCCATGTGGGCAACAGTGTTCGCATTTTCTGAAATAGCCGAAAGGTGAACCAACCCCCTCTGTTCAACATATCAAAAAATTAGAAAAGTACTTTTTGATATTTTGTAGAGAGTATTTTTTAAATATGAGGCAGAACAACATCGCCTCCAGGTGTCCACCACGTCGGCAACGCACGCCGTCGTCTGGTACGGTCGAGCGAAACACTGCACGGGGAACTTAATTTCGTTAACTATATTTGTATAGCTAACGCTAAGAATCTTGACATTATGACATGTCTATTTATAGTAACTAGAAGGGGAATAATTTTTTTTTTAAACAAAAGGTTTGGGTGGGCTTGCAAGTTGAATAGCGACAACTCGAATTCTGTTTGGGATGCTTTTTATCAAAGCCGAAACAAAGCACATTTATAGTTCAGCGATTTCTTTTTTTTTTATGTACATGAATGTAATATATAGTCCAGACATACTATATATACAGATGTTACTCAGATAAGATATCAATATACCAGAAAGGGCAAGCGAATACTAATATTAGGGTTTTTTGATAGGAGCACAACACAGAATTTTTTTTTTCATACATGGGAGACACATATTTTACAAGCGGTAAACACGCAACATGCTTCTGTTGTGTTATAACCTTCGAATGGCCGTTGGCCTGAATTCCACTCTTAATGTTCTGCTTTTTTTAATGTTTCACTCTCTGTTTTTCAGTTGCACTATATATTTGCACCCCAATACCTTTTCGTTGAAGAGGAAGAAAATCACCGTTATCGCTCGGCATCGTTGACGATCTCTAGCGTTCACTATTTCATTTTTTAGAAGCAAACGGAGTATGACCAAAAGTGCTAACCAATTCTGATCAACCGTCTGCATTCACAAACTCAGTTAGCAGACGACGGCTTTGTCTCCCGTCGCCTGAGTACATGTAAAGTGGAATTAAAGCCTTCAAATTAGCGTGCCAAAAGAATATTATGACATGGTAGCTAAAATAACACCCACGTCCATCCTGCAGGAAGAGTTTTTCTTGCGAATTTAAGACATCGCAGCAGACGGATCACACCGGTGGCGTTCCAGATGTGCGCAGTGTTCTAGCCTATGACATGAACTGAAAGCTAATGAAACACTGATATTCTAAATGTGATATAGTATTTCTTCACTATATCTTATATTTATCTGCATAAGAAGAAACAAAAACGTCGATGAGCTGCAAATGTGCTTTGTTTCGGCTTTGATGAAAAGTATCTCAAACAATATTTCGAGTTGTCGCTATTCAACTTGCAAGCGCACCCGGACATATAGTTTAGAGCAAAAAAAAAATGCACTCTCTAGTCACTATAAATAGACATGTCATGATGTCAAGATCCTCAGCTTTAGCTATACAAATATAATTAACGAAATTAAGTTCCCTGTGCAGTGTTTCACTCGACCGTAGCAGACGCCGGCGTGCGTTCCCGACGAGGTGGACGCCTGGAGGTAATGCCGTTCTGCCTCATATAAAAAAAAAAAAAAATTTCTCCAAAATAACAAGAAGTACTTTTCCAATTTTTTTATATGTTGAACAGATGGGGTCGGTTAAGCTTTTGGTAATGTCAGAAAATGCGAGCACCTTTGCCCACATGGCTTTTTTTACCCTCTATAGGGCCGTTTTTGAAGAAAGTGTATTCACCATTTAATTAAAAACTGTCCGAATAATTTCTTACTGTTGTAATGCAAC